CCAGTTATTGGTCTTAAGGGCAGTTTCTGAGCCTCGGGGCTAAAGAGAATGTGCTGGTTCGGAGGCTGGGAGTAGGCGGAGGGATGCCGACTACTAGTTTTGTTACTAGTTTGTGACAGGGGCGGTCCCACGTGTAAACCTTCATTGCCTTATTTATCAAATTAGTGAGGTAAACTCTGAGACTGTTTTCAGCAGAAATTTTGTAATTTATGTAAATTTATATTTGAAATGTCAAATAGACTAGCAATGTGATGCTCCTTTTTTCAATAATGGTAAAGGCTAAAGGAATACATGGAATGAACATAGATGCAGAAATAAGATTAAGTATATGTGCAGTGGGATCAGATCCGGGTTTAAGTCTTGCCTCTGCCACTTACTGTAAACCCCAGTTTCCTGAAACACTGTCATTTTCTGTTTCCTAAGATGGGAATCATAATAAATAATACCTACCTGGACTTGGGATGATTTGATGGCAGAACAGTATTGTGGTTGTTGTTCCAAATCAGTCACTTAACTGTTATATCTGGAAAGATATTGAATTATATTGCTTCCAACACTTGCATTCCCATTCCTTGGGCCATGGTTGAATAGCTCCAATTGTTACATAGAATAAACTTAAAAAAACAAAATTAAGAACACTCTTGATTAAAAAATTTGTACTTTGTACTCTTGCCATTAATTTGTACAGAAAGCACAAAAGCAGAACCAGATGACAACAGGGGAAAAGGAATGGTCATTCAAAATTTGCATTTGTGAGTCTCAAAACCAGACTTGATTTGCCGTGGAACAGAAATCTTGGACAGTCATCTATCTGTCTTACCTCAAAACAGTTAAGGCCCAGTTAAAGTGGCCAGGCCTCTAGTACTGCTGACATAATACAAGCTGATAAATCTAAGTTTTGGAGGCTTGAATTCAGTAGAGCCCCATGGTGTCACAGGGGCCTGGTGAATGAAAAGCCACTGTCAGCTTATCGACAGAAAGATAGCAGAGAGGCCCTACCAGTGCTCTGGAGATGTTTATCACCCAGGCCTTAGAGAACAGGAGTTTGACCCATACCAAACACTTCAGAAATAATGTCAACACACCCAAGACCACAGCCAGCAAGGAATTTTCTGAGATAAGATTACAACATTGTCCTTAAAGGGATGCCAACCAAGTCAGTCGATCTCTACATATTCCCTGAGCAGAGCAACCCTGTAGGTATCCTTCATACCAGGGAATTTTCAGAGCTCAATTTTTGTGCTTATAAATTCAAATATTCTGCTGTTGTTTTCCGAAATATTCACAAAACTCTAGCAACATCTCAGAAAGTCCCAGCAGGGTTAAGACTCAGGAAGCCTAAGCTTGGTGCTCATAAGATCTGCCAGTTGTAGAAGCTAGAGACAGCTCTCTATTGACAAGAGCATTCATTTACCCTTTTTTCAGGATTTTATTTCTTCTCTATTAGCTGTGTATAAACCAGAGGGCCTCCCAGGCCAGATTAGACCTGTAGTCTAGGGCAAAGTCATTGTAGGAAAAGGTGACTCAGTCTTCAAGTAGGTGTGAAAAGCCACTGTAATAGTTTGTTTAAATTTACCTAGTCCTGTGTTTGGTGTAAGTATCAGTATGCAAACTGGTGCTATCAGGGGAACCTCTGGGGGAGGGGAGGAGATAGACTGGTCAGGTGTTTTCCAGTTTTCCTGCCTTTCTGCCTTTGGTCCTGCTGTCTTCCCCTTGTGGAATTCCTTCCCTCTTCTCTTCTATTCAGATATATCTCCTCCATTAAACCTTTCCAGACCAATCCCACCTACTCTGATCTGACCCTCCTCTAAACTCCTCTAGAGGCCATACCAGCCCTCTGGCAATTAATCACATACTGCCTTGTGAATTTATCTTTATTTTGCTAGCTCTGTCTTGCTCTTTCATTCTCTCTCTCTCTCCTATCATGTGTGAATGTCTATGTGTAGCTAGATAAGAGGTCTATAAAAATATTAGTAAAATCTCGGCCGGCCCGGTGGCTCATGCCTGTAATCCTAGCACTCTGGGAGGCCGAGGCGGGTGGATCGTTTGAGCTCAGGAGTTCGAGACCAGCCTGAGCAAGAGCGAGACCCCGTCTCTACTAAAAATAGAAAGAAATTGGCCAAACAACTAAAAATAGAAAAAATTAGCCGGGCATGGTGGCACGTGCGTGTAGTCCCAGCTACCTGGGAAGGCTGAGGCAGGAGGATCGCTTGAGCCCAGGAGTTTGAGGTTGCTGTGAGCTAGGCTGACGCCACAGAACTCTAGCCCAGGCAAGAGAGGAGACTCTGTCTGAAAAAAAAAAAAATTAGTAAAATCTGTTATATATCTTTAGAACGGACTACCTGATATGTGCTCCATGATATAGTTATTATTTAGTAATTCTTGCTCAGGAATTACTAAATATTTGCATGCTGAGGCTCCTGTGTTGCTTTTGGAAGCCTTGGGACCCTACCTTTCTCAGCACTGATAGAAAGAACCAAGAACAACATCCCTAAGCAATAGGAGCTAGGAAGACATCTGAAGTGGGCTTAAAGGGCTTTCTTTTGAATAACTCAAAGCTATTCTATAATGCCAAGGTAGGTGGATTCTAATGCTGATCTCCTTAGTGTTTTGTTTTGTTTTGAGATAGGGTCTCATTCTGTCACCCAGACTGGAGTGCAGTGGTGCAATCATAGTTCACTGTAGCCTTGAACTCCTGGGCTGTAGGGGTTCTCCCACCTCAGCCTCTCATGTAGCTGGGACTACAAGCATGTACCACCATGCTTGGCCAATTTTTCTATTTTTTGTAGAGACCTGTCTCACTATGTTGCCCAGGCTGGTCTCAAACTCCTGGCCTGAAGTGATCCTCCCACCTCAGCCTCCCAAAGTGCTAGGATTACAGGAATGAGCCACTGTACCCAGCCTCCTCAGAGTTTAATGAGTATTCAGACAGCAAGGATTTGGGGCAAATTAAATAAGGCTGCCTGATGTGCTTTTCCTGCATGCCCACACCCGCCACGTGCCTTTCCTAGCCCCTCTATTCTACCACGACAGTGCGGCTTCCCCACACTTGCTCTTCCTCCAGCCTCCTCGTTAGCCCCACATTCAGAGGGAGCCTGGAGAACTGGGTGTGGCACAGACACTAAAGGCCGGGTAGTATATTTTAGTGCTCAAGTCTGTCTGTCTGGAGTTCAGATCTCACTCTGCCCCTGTGAGCTGTGTGTCCTTAGGCAAACTGACTAGTTTCTTTAAGTCTGTAGTTTCGTCTTCTGTAAAACGAGGATAATAATAGAACCTACCTCAAGGAGTTGTCCTGAGAGTGAAATAAGGTAGCCCGTGTCAAATGCTTAGGCTCTTGCAGGTACATTATAACACTGAAAACCGTCAATAAATGGCATACAGCTTCCACACAATATGCTGATTTCTCCCATTTAAAAACAAAACAGACTCTCTTGACCCCAAATGCTCTCTTTTCTCTATACTCTTTGTCTTGCTACCGTTCTCTTGCACCCGCTCTAATCAGGCTCTGGCCCCCTCCATTCCACAGCAGCTGCTTTTTTCAAAGTCACCAATGACTTCCATGCTGCTAAGTTTAAGACTTAATTCTTAGGTCAACCCTCTTGACCTACCAAGCTGCATTTGACACAGCTGATCTCTCCCTCCTCCATGAGACATTTTCTTCATGCAGCCTCCAGGACACCCCACTCACCTGGTTTTCTTCCTGCCTCAATGGCTACTTCCTTGTCTTCTCATCGCTCTCCTTCTGGCTTAGTCCTTAGACTTCTTTATCCAAAGCCCCTTGGTGATCTCACCCAGCCTCCTGGCCTCCAGCACTGACACTGTGCTGACAACTCCCCACTTATCTCCAGCGCACCAGCACTTTCTGCCCTGGGTTCCAGACTTGATAGCAGCTATTCAGCTATTGAACTTCTCCACTCAGAGATCTAATGGGCATCCCAAAGATGTCTAAAACTGAACTCCTACCTTCCCTCCCCCAATCCTGCCCTTCCCATAGTCCTCTGCATCCCAGGAACTCCATCCTAATGGTTCAGGCCAAAGACCTGAGTAACCCCTGACTCCTCTTTCTTCATATCCCATGCATAGTCTGTCAGCAAATCCTATTGGCCTATCATCAAAACATATCAAGAATCTGATCACTTCTAGCAACCACTAGTACCACCTGCTCTAAGCCACCAACATCCCTCACTTGGAATTGTGCAGTAGCCTCCTAACCAGTCTTCCATGTCCATTTGCCCTCAACGTAGAAATCAGAATAACCCTCTAAAGCATAAATCAGGTCATGTCACTGGCTCAGAGTCTTCCGATGGGCTTTCACTCCAAGTAAAAGCCAAAGGCATAACACGGGCCCACCATGCCTTGGATGGCCCAGCCCGTGGCTGCTTTTCCGACTCCTCTCTTCCTGCTCTTCCCCTGGCTTACGCCACTCACGCCCCACCAGGCACACCCTGGGTCTTGCCTCAGGACTTCTGTGCTTGCTCCTCTTCTGCCCTCCTGGAATGCCCTTGGCCAGAGGGCCGCACGGTTCACCCCTCACCACTGTTGGGGCTTTGCTCAAATGTCGTGTCATGAGCCCGTCCCTGACCAGCTGTTTAATTTGCACCCCTGTTACCACCCCAGCATTCCCTAATTCCTTTCCCTACTTTATTTTTTGACATAGCACTTCTTACCATCTGTCATACTTTTCATTTTACTTATTTTGCTATCGCGATAGTGTATTATATGTGTTTCCCACCAGAACATAAAGTCCATGTAGGCAGGGGTCTTTGCCTTCTGTGCACCCCTGTATCCACAGCACCTGGAATGGTGCCCACACATTAAAAACTGAGCGAGCGTTGGCTGTTACTGATGTTCTGGAGGCTTCTCTTGGCCGGGGTCTGCGGCTGGCCATGACATTCTGCCTGTGTCCCAGCTTTCTGAGGATGGAGCTGTCTTACACCCAGGTTGGCAGCCTGCCTTAGCTGCCTCTGACGTGGCCGTGTCTGTCTGTTCTTTTTCCTCAGATGCGTACTCTCATTCGTCAAGTGAAAACGGAGGCAAATCCGAGTCAGTGGCCAACCTGCAGGCCCAGCCCTCCCTGAACTCCATCCACAGTTCCCCCGGTCCCAAGCGCTCCACCAACACGCTTAAGAAGTGGCTGACGAGTCCTGTGCGTCGGCTCAACAGTGGGAAAGCAGATGGGAACATCAAAAAGCAGAAGAAAGTACGTGATGGTCGGAAGAGCTTCGACCTGGGATCTCCCAAGCCTGGGGATGAGACGACCCCTCAGGGAGACAGCGCTGATGAGGTACTTCCACACGGGCCGGAGGGGACCCTGCCACGCCTCCTTCCACTGCTCGGTAAACTAGGCATCTCTAGTCCCCAGCAGTGGTCATCCTGCGCCTGAGTGATTTGAGTTCCTTTTATCCTCAAGACCTTGCCCAGTTTCATTGGTAACAAATTCAGAGACTGACTGGCTCTAGGACATCCAGCAGACAGAAACCATTTGCCAGATTTGGAGATAGGAGCCTGGGCCGGAGGGCAGTCAGTTGGTCGCTGGTTCCCTGCCTCTACTGAGGACCACATCACAACTGGCTAGACCTGTTCAGGGTAAAGAAAATAGAAGACTATGCTGGGGCATTATAGTTGTTTACAAGAATCTTGGGTGGTGCCATTTATAAAAAGGAGCAGACAAGTCCAGGTTGCCCCAGAGAACTATGATCAACAGACAAGGTTACTATAGGCAAGGTTTCAACTTAAAGCAGAATTTTAATGGGGGGTTAACCAGCAATGAAAAGGGCCTTCACGAGAACTAATGGTCACCCATACTGCAAGGGTTGAGAGTCCGTGCCACCTCACATCACAGTCAGAGAGATCCCTGTGTTAGCTGAGAGGCTAGGCTGGGTGACCTCTGAAGTCTCGTACAAAGCTGTGATTCCGTATTCAAAATATAGTGGGTATGTTTCGGTTGAGGAAATGAGATACCTATTTTGTCTGGCAAACTAACTTATTGTAATCACTGATGTGGCTAAGAAATTCTTCCTGATGTGTAACCAGATTCCCTCTTCTTGTAATTTTATGCTATCTGCCGTTTCTCGCTCTGGAAATGGCAATAGAGCCTGGTGACATTTGGATCGGTGTTTAATAGCCCTACAAAAATTTAAAAGTTAGGTTCTCTCTGACTACTCCCAGCTTTCTCTTTTCCTTTCTAATCAATAAGATAGTTTTTGTTGTTTTGGTGTGCATGTGTGTGCGTGTGTGTGCGTATGTGTGTGTGGGTGTTCATTCCCCATTTGGTCCTCACTCTCCTTTGAGATGAGCAGGTGTATCCATATATAGAGGAGGAACCTGCAGCTGATAAGATAGAGGTGTGTGGAGAGGAACCCTCCTCTTATACATTGTTTCTTTAAAATGTCAAGTCCTGAACCATTGGCATTTTTAGCTTTGTGAAACGGTAACTAATGCTGCTCTTTTGTTCTAGAAGAGCAAGAAAGGTTGGGGTGAGGATGAGCCAGACGAAGAGTCACACACACCCCTCCCTCCGCCTATGAAGATTTTTGACAACGACCCCACACAGGACGAAATGGTAGAGCATCTTTACTTTCTTATCTGAAAGAACAGTGTGTCATGCAAGTGATTTTGTGTTGTGTGTGTGTTGGGGATAGTAATGCTCTTTCTCCTTTGGTACCTCTTACCCCACATGAATCCATGATAACACAGATTCTGTCTGTATTTGGTAGGTGTCCCCTCCCCCAATCCTGGAGGCGTGACTTCATTTTGGGCAGTGCCTGGGGTGTGTGTAGAATTCTCAAAGTGGGAACCTGCCTGGTCTCCTGTTGATAAAGGGTAATGGCTCTGTCTTTGGAAGCAGCAGGTCCTAAAAAGAACTATTTTAGGATCTGCTATTTTATAAAATCTGATATTTTATATCAAAAAGGAATCTGCAGTGGTTCTAGGTTGCAACCATCTTATTGTACCTGACTGTACAACCTACATTTTAGTCATTTTCCCTATACTCAACTCTAAAATCTAAATAATGGTAACTTTTAGTCAAGCCCAGCACTGTTAAAATTTTGCAGTCATAGCATGAGGGATGGAGATGCTGCTAAGGGGAGGTTGTTGCCAAAGGTGGGCAAACCTGATATGCCAAGTTGCCCAACTTTGCTTTGCAGAACTCCCTGGCTCACTGGCACACAGAGGCTCACTGGTATCTGAAATGTCAGTGTCCACTGTGCCCGTAATCACCTTGATTGTCCCAGCTGTTCTGGAGCAAAGGCTTAGGTTGGATGTGCTTCCAGGTACTGACCTGAAGCTTGGGGCTGCTTTGTGTTCTCCGCCACTTACTTTCCTCACAGCCATGCTTTCGCTTTGTTCTGTGTGTATGTGTGTGTCCTTCCTTCTCTCTGGACATTGAAGTGGTAGTTTCGGCTTTTGATTGCATGGTACTTGCCATTTGCTTTTCAGAGTGTCATTTTCGTTGTGTCGCGGTGGCGGCAGTGGTGACAGTGGTCACCGGCCTAGCTGTCCTCCAGGCTCTCCCTGTGCTCCCTGGTGCTCTGCCTGCTAGAGGGGCAGCCTCCTTCAAGGTGGGCCCAGCAGGTGCAGGCCGGAAACAAACCTTTATGATACCACCTAGGATGCAATTCAAAAAGTACTGACTGCAGATGTGTCTGCTTTTCTGGTGATTCAAAAAGTGCTGTCTGCAGATATATCAGCTTTTCTGGTGATATCTCAGTTCTTATTTTAATTCTCTCTGCTTTGCATTTAAATTGTTAACCCACAGACATTGATAGAGTCTTTCTCTGTGCTGGGCAAGTCTAGCGGCAGGCTAATGACTGAGATCTGGCAACTGCGTGCCCCCTCCGCCCCGTTGTGGCCCCTCCCGAGGTGATGTTGGTGGCCCCCATCGCCGGGGCCAGCTCTCTGACTCTGGACTGTTGGGAGGAAACGTAGTAGGAGGCCTGGCATGTGCCCATCCTGGATTCCTGAGGCAGAAATGCCTGTGCTTCACCTTGAGATGGCAGAGAGAAGCAGCCTCTGCGTTCCCGAGGCCTACCGTCACGCAGTGTTTTATAAACAGTGACCGCGCACGGGGGAGCGGTGGCCCGTGGCCCTCATGGCCCTCCCCACAGAGGGTCCAGCGGGCATAAGATAAGCAAAGGTCACGAACCCTCTCCCTCTAATTCCCTCAAACACAGCTTGTTTGGGGGAAATGGACATTATGTTGTTTCTAGATAATTTTTAACTGAGAATGCTGACTTACCCCAGACACTCATGTAGCCCTTTTCTTAGCTAGAAATAGGGCAGATGCCAACAACCTCTTCTTAGACACATTCACTCTCCTCAGTCCTGCTTATTTGATTTCTGTACATTTCGTTTTTCTGGAATATTTGGGAGTGGTGTGAGCCTCAGAACTTCTAGCAAATATAGTTGGATATATTAAAACAATTTTTAGGCCGGGTGCGGTGGCTCACGCCTGTAATCCTAGCTCTCTAGGAGGCCGAGGTGGGCGGATTGTTTGAGCTCAGGAGTTCGAAACCAGCCTGAGCAAGAGCGAGACCCCGTCTCTACTAAAAATAGAAAGAAATTAATCGGACAACTAAAAATACATAGAAAAAATTAGCCGGGCATGGTGGCGCATGCCTGTAGTCCCTGCTAGTCGGGAGGCTGAGGCAGAAGGATTGCTTGAGCCCAGGAGTTCGAGGTTGCTGTGAGCTAGGCTGACGCCACGGCACTCGCTCTAGCCAGGGCAACAGAGTGAGACTCTGTCTCAAAAAAAAAAAAAACAATTTTTTTGACAGTGTAAAAGGAGTTTTTGAAGGTTTACCCATTGTGATGTATGATTATTTTAATTCTCCATGTTTCCTTCTGGTCTTTGTTCATATGCATGTATGACATGTTCACTGTTTTATTTACTACCATTTCCTGAAGTCTTATTAATTTTAGCTTTGTAACTATAATTTTAACAGCTGGAGAATATTTTACTTATTTGATGTTCCATTCTTTGCTTCACCAGCCCCTGACTGGGACATCTAAGGGGGTGTTTCCAGTCTTTGCCACTCTGGATAATACTACTGTGGACAAATCGCTGTGCACAGAGCGCATTTGTTCTTTTGACTTCTGTCCTTGGAATAAGTTTCCAAGAGTAGGATCACTAGAACAAAAAGATGATAACTTGATTTTCCACATAGACTTAAGTTATTTCCTGCATTCCCCAGGAGAGGAAAAATATATTGCTATATCTTTCTTAATTACAATTATTTCCCCCCATCTCAGAAGCAAAGACTTAATGTAACTCTTAGATTAGACAAGAGGCTTCGTTTTTGAAACTCTTCCCCTAACCTAAGGGACAAACTTGAAGTCAGAGCAAGGCCAGGACATTCAACCTCTACGCCCACAGTCGTTGCTGCTGGAGCCCGAAGGAGGCTGTGGCCTGGCCCTGGGAACACCACTGCCCTATGCTGCGATAAGGCTGGGGTAAAAGTGCACACATGCTTTGCAAGGTTAACCATTTCTCCCCCAATTTCTTCTCGGGTAGAGGAAGGAGGGAAAAACAATCCAAAAACCACCGTCCCTCAGGGAGCAGGACCCGCCAAACCACTGACGAAACTGCCACATGGACAAGTCCTTATTGCTGGTGCAGGGGTGGGGAGGAGGGGCCCGGGGAGGTTGCGCAGCAGAGCCTCCTTCACTGTGGCTGCCGGGCTCGTGACACGCGGCTCCTGCCAGAGCCCTTTATCACTTCCTAGTGTTCCAGTTCGGGGGCCTTCCCAGAGCCAGCTATGTTTTTTGGAGGGGTAGGGGTGCGTGTGTGTGTGCATATTTGTGTGTATGTGTGTGTGTGAGAGAGAGAGAGAAGGGGAAGGAGAGAGAGAGGGGGAGGGAGAGGATATGTGGGGGGGTGTCCAACTCACTGGTCTCTAAGGGCCCTGCCCCTAGCATTTTTGCTGGACACACAGTAAAGTTCTGTATCTAAGGCTGTGAAAGCAAGGACTATTTCTCTTCTTTGGACACACCTAAAGCTAGGTTTATTGACTCCTGCATACCCTGGAACAGCAATAGGTGGCTGTGTAGTGGCCAAAGTCTTGTTTGCCCTCAAAGCAGTCACCCCCCACCCACCCGACTGCTGTCAGTAGGTGCAGCCCTTGCCTGTTGGCCACCCAGGAGCTCTATGACCCCTCCTCTCAGCTCTTTCGGAGGCCTACGGAGACCCTAGTCCCAACCATGCTTTGCTGGCCAGAATTCCTGACAAGGGGTTGGGCAGGCCTGTCCCACACCGACGCTACCCCCACCTCCCTCTGTCATCTCTTCCCACTAAACTTAGAGCTTTGCTTCCCTCACCTGCCTCAAGCTTTTGTCTATTTTGCTTCCTAATCACTGTTCCTCATTCCTAGCTAATCTGCTTTTCCTTTGCTGCTCAATGTCTTGCAGTCCTCCTCTTTGCTAGCAGCCCGGCAGGCTTCCACAGAAGTACCTACTGCTGCAGACCTTGTCAGTGCAATAGAAAAGTTGGTGAAAAGCAAGCTGGTAAGTGGGGGTCCTGGAGACAGTTCTGTGTGTGTCTCACCTCCATGCGGCTCCCAAGGCCTTGCATCTGTCTGCCTAGTTCTCTTTGGACCTATCCTCGTGCCTTCTGTGCGGTTGTTTCCAGCTAATGATGGTTTCTAAACAGCCGTGCCCCCAAGTCCTCTCTGGCATTGTTTGGGAATGGGCATGGGAAATTAACAGGCCATTCAGGAGTTGTGATGTTGATACAAGGTGAAAAGTGCCCAAGACAAACTAGCCTCACTGTAAGCCTAATCCACCTGCCCACACGCAGGTGGCTTCCAGTCTGTGACTGGGGTGTATCTGGTTAGCACTGAAGCTAGTGTACTGTGCCGCTGAGACACAGAACACAGATTGGATCTTTGAAAACACCAGGAAATTTTATTTGGGAACTTCGGGTAGCCTGCTGGCTTGCAAAGTCTTGGAAAAGTGGCTGTGTCCTGGCCAGGCTGTGTCCTGCTATTATAAGAGGGAATGGCACTGTGGGAGGCCCAGGCGGGCGGATTGTTTGAGCTCAGGAGTTCGAGACCAGCCTGAGCAAGAGCGAGACCCCGCCTCTACTAAAATTAGAAAGAAATTAATCGGACAACTAAAAATACATAGAAAAAATTAGCCGGGCATGGTGGCGCATGCCTGTAGTCCCTGCTAGTCGGGAGGCTGAGGCAGAAGGATTGCTTGAGCCCAGGAGTTTGAGGTTGCTGTGAGCTAGGCTGACGCCATGGCACTCACTCTAGCCCGGGCAAAAAGAGTGAGACTCTGTCTCAAAAAAAAATAAAAATAAAAAATAAAAGGGAATGGGCAAAAGTGTGCGGATACCTCACACGAAATTAAGAGAGCTGGTGCATATCCCCATCATGGGGCGGGGGATAACTGAATGTTAACTACTGACAACTGGTCTAGCTTGTGACTGTCTCATGGACCAATCAGCACATTGGAGGGAAGAGTGATGAGTCTGAGCTGGTTTGGGATTTTGGCATAATGCTGGTGAAAGAGCCCTTTTTTGGATAGCTCATTAGGATAGGGCTGCTCCTCTACTCCCCTGCTTTTACTTTTGAGTGTATCCCTGTAGGATGACAGTTTGAAGCATTTAGGAAAATGCTTCTTTCAGTCTCATCCATGTCACTCGTTTGACCTCTCCTGCAATTCTCATTAGGATAAATGGCTGTGCTTCGCAGACTTCTGTTGGGCAGTCTTGTTAATCAGTCCCATTTAAACCCTTCTCCACCTGGCCCAGGAATTAGAGGAAAATGATGGATGCTCTCTAGGGAAAGCTGCCTGATAATTTTGATTGCAGTAACCTCCTTTTCAGATAGCCCAGCCTACAGTATATAAATGAGATTTAATACGTATGATTTTATTCTTTCATTCCTAAATTTTCCTTCCTATTAAAGCTGCTGTTTTTAGTAACTAGTGTCAAACTCTTGAAGGTTGCCCATTTTCCTGCCATCTCTGCCTGTCCTGCCAGTAGGAGTTAAGTGCTCCTGTGGGCACTATATTGACTTCTCAAAGGTCTCCTCTCTGACTCTCCTCACTTGCCGTCCACGCTGACCCATACACCCTCTTCATTCTCCAAATACCATCTTTAATTTTTTTCTTAAAATTGTCCTTTCTTTTGTATTTTCTCTTTCACCTCCTGAGCCTGGGCCCTGACTTCGTGCCTGGACTGGTGCGGTAGCCACTGCTTTCTCTTTCCCCACCCTGTCTGCCTATACACCTCATTCTCCCAATCAGTCCTCCACAAGCACTGCCTGCTACCTCCCTCCTTGCTGGGGCTCACTGCCCCGCTCTTGCCTATACACAAGCAGTGGTCTCCAATGTGGGCTGCTTTCAGGTACACAGTTTATTGGGGTATGGGAAGAAAATATTTGAATATCTTTATATCATCATTTTAAAATGTTTCATGTATGTTTTGTTATGTACATAATGATAGTATAGTAGCACAGATACATAATTTATAAATAAGTTACATGTTTTGGGGGTACATGAACAAAATTATGTTCACTGATGTCATCACATTTTGGAAATCACTGGCCTATGATAGGGTCCACACTTACCCAGTATGCTGATATTTTGTGGCCTATTCTGCAACCTACCTTTCCAATATCCACTTATGATTCTGCTTGATGAATTCTGCCCCAACCAAACTGTTTTCCTCCCTATCCCTGAACATCTACTTGGATTTCCTTCCTCCAAGTTTTTGTCCAAACCACCCCACTTCTCTGGAATATTTGCCCTCTTATTTTTGCTTATCTAGAACATAATGGTCCTTCAAGGTCCCACTCAAGTTTCGTCTATTCACAAGGGCTCCTCTGACCAGCCCGGGCCAAATTTCCTCTGTGATCACATGGCAATTACTAAAGCCACATGCACCGAGGGACAGCTCTTAGGTGGCCCTGTTGTGTTAGTTGTTAAAATATCTTAATGTTTGCATTTGTAGTTTACCTTTACAGCTAAATGGCAAGTCATTTAGGACAATATTATTTTTTCCTCCTATTTATCGGGTTCTTTGTGAATGCTTATTTCCAAAAGTCTGTATTTGTTTATATTTTGGATTACCTTTTTCCTACTACTGCTGCTAACCTTTGCACTGTTGAGAGTCTCTTAGGGCCTCTAATTTGTGTGATCAGTGGGTCTGGTGTTAAACATGCAAATGAAGATATTGAGAAGTCCCATTAGAGCAAATTTCCCAGAGAAGAGGGAGTATGGGATGGCATTGGAATCCATTGGCCTTATAGCAGGGCCTCAATAAATGTCTGTTGAATGAGTGTCCTTTCTGCAGTGAGTTTACTATAATAAAAGCCTTAATTTCTTCCACCAATCACTACACTTGAGGACCTACAATGAGCCCAGAATTAGAGATTTCTTTGGCTTAACATACAAAACCAAGCTGTGGTATGGCTATCCCAGAAAGTAGTGAGGATGCAGTTGTTTGCTTTCTTAGAATCTTCTCACCAAAATCTGATTCTTTGTCCTCTCCTCTACCTTCTCTTTCTTCTTATCCAGCGATGCAACAACAGGAGGTTGAGAATATCCCAGCCATGTTTAGGAACACTAAGTTGCATTTTCACTGCCAGGACTCTTAATCCTATTTCTTTATCTTAGAAGAAGAAAAGATCCAGAGCCATAAAAGTTCAGGAGTACTTATCTGACTAAAGACAACAGCGTGATGGCTGCCAGTAATGGCCAGTGTTATCCCAGACTTGGTTAATGCACAGATCAGGAGAAGTAATAGTCTCCCTGTACTCAAAGCTATTCAGACCACAGCTGTCACGAGTTGTGTGTGAGTAATGTGTTATGTTTGAAATATAACATTCTAAAATGTTACTGAACGAACTGGAGGGGCCCAGAAGAGATAAACAGAACACATGGCTCATGTCATCTAAAGGAAAGGTGAAGAAACCAAGATTAAGTATGGGGAGAAGTTGGGAGACGACACATGAGAGCTGTCATCCAATAGCACTGCTGTGGGAATGGAGGCTGTTCTGACTCTGTCGCTCCAGAAGGTGGAACCTAGACCTGTGGGTGGGAGTTTTCTTAGTTCAGTATAAGAAAGAACTAATAAAGTCCTTTCCACTTTACAGAGTCAGATTCCATTTCACAGGAGCATCTGGTATGCTTGGACTTCTTTTTTTTTTTTTTGACACGAAGTCTCATTCTGTTGTCTAGGCCAGAGTGCAGTGGCATCATCATAGCTCACAGCAACCTCAAACTCGCAGGCTCAAGCAATCCTCCTGCCTTAGCCTCCTGAGTAGCTGGGATGACAGGCTCATGCCACCACATCCGGCTAAGTTTTGTATTTTTTGTAGAGACTGCGTCTCACTATGTTCCTCAGGCTTATCTTGAACTCCTGACCTCAAGCAATCCTCCTGCCTTGGCATCCCAAAGTTCTAGGATTACAGGCATGAGCCACTGGGCCTGGCCTGCTTGGACTTTAATCTAGAGCTTAGAGTCTTTCTACGTTCTTTATTGGTTGCTCAAGTGATGATGGAACCAAATTGTGTACTTAGAATTTATTTGATCCCCCAGCTCCACTCAAAGGCCATGAGATCCCGTGTGTCCCAAAGCTGCCTCCATTGCTTTATAGTCATGCAGACATTTTTGCACCAGGCTTCCTCCTTGATGAGTTGTGACCTCTGATGTACAAGCTCTGCTGGGAACGAAGACAGGGTTCTCAGGCTCACTTGTAGCACAGGTAAAACCCCATACATACTCCCGCATTAGTGAGTCCTTCTGGATATTAATGGGCCCTTCTGAGTTCTCTCCAACCAGCCTTCGTCTCCTCCCACCCCGGAGATAAAGTCTTGCTCTGTCACCCAGCCTGGAGTACAGTGGCACAATTACAGTTCATTGCAGCCTTGAATTCCTGGGCTCAAGTGATCCTCCTGCTTTAGCCTCCCAAGTAGCTGGTACTACAGGTATGTGCCACCATCCCCAGCTAATTTATTTTTATTTTTGTAGAGACAGGGTCTTGGCTATGTTACCCAGGCTGATCTTGAACTCTTGGCCTCAAGTGACCCTCCTGCCTCAGCCTCTCAAAATGCTGGGATAACAGGCATGAGCTACTGTGCCTGGCTCAGCCTTGGTCTTTAATCAAGGCCTTTGTTTACCAAGAAAGGATGCTCACCCACCTCCCCCCAAATAGAGCTAATGTACTTTTTCTGGCCAGAGTTAAAGATAATGCCCTGTGTAATTTTTAGTACAGCCTTTTCTAGACCTGTGGATTGCTGCTGCTGGCAGAGAGTGTGTAAGGAATCAGAAGACCTAGGTTTTAGTCATGCCCCCGCTATTTATCGTACAGCCCTGGGAAAGTTAGTCTACTTGGGCCTCTCTGTTATCTCACCTGGTAATGGTGATGATTCTGTCTACCTGAATCAAATCTCAAGAGAGTTATGATGATATGAATGTGCTTTGTAAACTGATAAGCAAGCACCTGCAAATATTAGTTCTTAGCCACCTCAGCTGCTTTGTGAAGGGCAGGGAAA